TTTTTTGAGACGAAGTCTCCCTCTGTCGCGCGATCTCGGCTCACTGCAGCCTCTGCCTCCCGGGTTCAGGCGATTCTTCTGCCTCAGCCTCCAGAATAGCTGAGATTACAGGCACGCACCACGCCGCCCGGCTATTTTCTGTCTTTCTTTTTTTTTAGTGACAGGGCTTCACCATGTTGGTCAGGCTGGTCTCGAACTCCTGACCTCAAGCGATCCACCCGCTTGGGGCTTCCCAAAGTGCTGAGATTACAGGCAAGAGCCGCCATGGCCTGCTCGCCCGGTTATTTTTGTATTTTTAGTAGAGATGGGGTTTCGCCATGTTGCCCAGGCTGGTCTCAAACTCCTGGCCTCAGGTGGTCCACCCACCTCGGCCTCCCAAAGTGCTGGGATTACAGGTGAGAGCCACTGCGCCCGGCTTCTCTTTATTTTCATATACAAAGAATTAATTCACACAGACACCCAAAGAATTAATGTCTTCTCTCTTTATTTTTATATCTAAAGAATTCACACACATACCACCCTTTCCCTTTTCCCTTATTTTACAGATGAGAACATTTGAGCCACAGACTAGGAAGCGGCTGGCTTTAGATTCTGTAGAAGAGTCTTTAATGGGCTCTCATTTGCCTAAGGATGGAAAACCTCTTTTTCAATAGTACATGGTTCATGCCTTCCAGCAACTTCCCTCTCGGGGTCTATTTTTCTCTATTTAACAGGAAAAACTTCATCAGATCATATGTTGTGAAAATAAATTTCAGTCTTGTTTGGTAGATTGATGTGGGCTCGTTTGACCACTTAAGAGTTCTGAATTCCTCAAATTTATTTAAAAAATTTTTTTTTTATGTCTTGTACTCACTTGTAAATTAAAGATTTTAAAACATTTTTAAATGCAAAACTGATGCCTATTATTTTTAAAATGCTGTTATCAAATATTGATATGGATTCCCTTTTCCTGCCCTTTTTAAGAGGGGTAGGGATCTCATGTCATTTGTGGTTACCAGAATCGTATCAGGAAAAACTCAGAAAACCGGTTATTTAGTCTCCGTGGGTGGTGGAACCCTATTGAAATTCAAGCGTAATGAGGGAGATAATCCAGATAAAAACTTGTTGCTTATAATTTTGTCTGCCTGACAAAACATCATCAATCCTGCTTTACCAGCCTAAATAAAATAGTAAGGGGCAAAAATGGACTTTTTATTTGAATTTATTATCTTATATTGTAAGTGAAGATACAACTTGACTGCGATACAATCTTCTTAAGACAGAGTCTTGGAGAGACCCGTACCCTCCTTCTTCCTGCTCCCTAGCTGTCAACCGTTCTGGCAAGACAGACAGGGACCCACATTTGAAAGCCTGCCAAGTTAGAGAAAACTGTTACACAATGTCATTTCCTTCCTCTGAAACTTAAAACAAAATTAACCTCAGTCAGCTGCTTGCTAACCACAAATTCTTCATACTCCACCTTTAAGATAGCCTTTCCTCTGGACTTACTTCAATTCCCTTGAACTCTTTTCATAGCTTCTTTGAAAGGATATGCTCTCAGAACCCCTATTCTGTTTGCTTCCATCTCCTGCCATCAATCTTTCCCCAGTGTTCTATTTATTTTCCCTCCATGCTTCCCTGATTGTCTTGCCTTTGGTCAAGCTTAAATGTTTATGTGTAGGACTCATATCTGTTTTTCCACCTGACTTCCTTCTCCAAGGCTCAGAGATGGAATTTCATACTACCTGCTAGATAGTGCCTTTTGGGCAGCAGATGCTTGCTGAGGGCCTACTGTGTGCCAGAAAGGGGTACTAGGTGTTGGGGATAGGAAAATGAAACAGACATGCTTCTTATCCTAGAGTATCTCATGGTTCAGTGAGAAATAAACTGCCCAAATGGCAAGACAGAGAGGAGTCCAGTGATTAATACTTAACTATGTGCCAGGCACTTTTTTACATGCTTGGTAGATATGATCTCGTTTAATCCTCACACCACCACTAGGGGGCAGTTACTATTATTATTCCCATTTAACAGATGATATGGTAAAGCTGAGGCATATGTCTGATAAGTCCAAATTTAAAATGCTGTTGACCACACCTACAGCCCTAGAAGACATGAGCAATTCCATATGAGGCTTGGCCAGTGACACAGTTCTGAATATCTAAACCGAGCTATTCCCTAGCATTTGTGAAAATAGCTAAAAAACAGTTACAAAGATTAGTTCTTCACTACACAAAAAGGAGTGAACAGAGGTAGGGATCTAACTGATAGAGTCTCAAACAGTTGTGAGAATTGTCACTGTAGTGAAATGATTAAATATGTTTTTTTCTCTTTAATTTTTAGTTTGAATGAATGCATGTGAATTGTCCAAATTTCCACCAATGAAGAATCAGCTAGCTATGTTAGCTTCTCCCACTTAGATTCCTAGATGGGGTTTAGAGGAGAGTGTTTACGTTAAGCCCAGTGTTTTGAAATACGTATCTGCTAGGGCCGGGCGCGGTGGCTCAAGCCTGTAATCCCAGCACTTTGGGAGGCCGAGGCGGGTGGATCACGAGGTCAAGAGATCGAGACCATCCTGGTCAACATGGTGAAACCCCGTC